CTGCAGAGGTCACGCTCCGGGGGGAGCAGCTCGCAGCAGCTGAAGACCCAATTCGGCCACTGGACCTTTTTCCTACGCCCGAGCCCTTGGGACCGTGGTGGTCCTGGGATGGCAGGGGGAGAAATGTGAAGGTATGGGCTGCAGCTGCTAGCGCGGCACCAGCCAGGCCATGCCAGGCTTTACACTGACTGCTTGGGAATAGAAAAGACAAAGAAGATGAAGAGAAGGCTCTGTAAATCAGCCCAGCCAGTCATGTGCCCAGGCTGGATCAGCTCCTGCTGATGGGCAAGTCCTGCCTGCTCCAGCTACTTCCAGAAATTAATAAATGCAGAGGTACAGATATTCTGCTTGGTGTCAGCGTGCCTGAGCCTCCCACAGCTACCAGCACTGGACTGCGATACCCTCAGGACAACACTGAGAGCACAAGAGAGCCCATTTCCAGCCTGGCCAGCACTGCTGTTGAAGGGCCCCCTATCCCAATACCACGGGGTAATTATGTCTTGAGCTGACATAATTAATCAAGGCCTAAAAATCATCACCTCTACTTCACCCTGACCTCCCTCCTTATCAGGCTGTACACAACAAAGAATTGCTGGTCAAGCTCCCTCTGCCATGCTGACGCTGGGGATGACCCCTACACAGATGCTGAAATGGGGTGGCAGTGTGGAAGCTGGAGGCCAGGGCTGCAGGGCTCAAAGGAAACAGCCAAGGGACCCCCCACTCCAGCTAGGAGGCAAGATGGCTTTCTGCCCTCAATTTGCTCAGGCAAGCTCTCAGATCAGGCAAATACCAGGGCAGGGAGACATAAGCCTCCGGTCTCCTGCTGGCTGCCTCAGTTTGCAGAAGGGAAAGCAGGGTGCCATCTCTGAGAGGAACCTTCTTCAGGCTAAACACTGACCCAAATCAATCAGCTGGCCAAGCCAACCCCTCCTTAGCTGCACCCATCTCATATGGAACAACCCCTGGAGAAAGTCTGTCTCAAACGGGTTATACTACATGACCTATTCTGCTCTGCCTCCGTGTGCTCTCCTGCACGCCTTGCTGCACTGCAAAGTGCAGTGCAGGGCTTTCACCACACTGGAACACCAGCACGGTACTCTCCACCTGTATGGCGACGGTGTACAACGGGCTGCAGTCACCCGGTGTGCCACGCTGCTGAGAAAACAGCTACCGTGGCATAAAAAAGTGTGCGAGGAAAAGCAAAGTAAACAGGTCTTAGTGCAGGGCTAGGACAGCCCAGAGTGAGTTGCAGTTCCCTGCGTGGCTTGCCTAAGCTCTGGTCTGTGTGAGAAAGTTCACGTTTTTTTAAAAAAATTGCAATTTACAAACATATCTGAGAGAATGCAACTCTGAAGCTATGAGTTTACGAAAAGAATTACGCTTGCCTGTGGGGCTGTCAACTGCATGTAGTTCACATCTGACAAATGCTCTGCGTGTAAAATGGCTTGAGCCCAAGCTATTTAAAAAGAGAGCTGGATTTAGGTACGTGGTACATGCAAGTAAGCTGATGGCAGTATAATATCGTTCATAGCCTTACATTCCATCTCCAACATGTCAGAGAAAGCATTTTCCTACCACAGCAATGATCCTTTTGGAGCCCCGAGGAAACTTCAAAACCTTTTGTGAAAACATTAACTCTACTGAGGGCCATTTTATAAATTATAAAAATTGCACAAAATGGCTGAAGTGATTATGAGGTACACAGAAATCCAAATTTCCTAGCTGTACAAAAGGCAGAATAGTCATCCTTTAGCTTTGCTTTCAAGACCAGTATTTGCAACCATATAAAATCCACTTTTGAGAGGTCTAACACAGTGAGCCTCTTACACTGCCAGAATCACTGCATAGCTTGACAACACAGAAATGTCTGCTATGAGGAAACCCCGCTGTCAGGTTATATGCAAAAGTTGAAAGAAAGTTTGTACTAGAACCCTGCTTTGAAGGAAATGTGAAACAATACTCGTCCTCTGTTATACCCAAGTTAAACCTTATGAAAGACATCAGCTCTGTCAGCAATAAACCAATGCAAAATTTTGAGAGTGCAACCTGATACCTGCCAGGGCACAGCATCTTTGTTTTACCGACCCATTCTTATCATGAGCTAATTCTGTCCTCATTCAGTCTGGTGCTACCCATCACATCTAATGAAGCAAAGGGAGTGTTATTCCATTTTTAGCATCATGTGGATTAAACAAAGCCTCCTTCGCAAGGAGGCTCCTGTTACTGAATTTGTCCTCTGAGCAAAACCACAGCTGAATTGTGAGATGCCCTTCTCTTGGCCAGAGATACCAACTTGTAAGTCATCAGCTTGAGGTGGAGAATAGAAGAATAAGAAAGTCAATCTGAGAGCCTTTATGTGGGCAAAGCTCTTATTTGCTGTGGTGTTCAAACAGGCACTGCAAGACCTGTCCCTCTATTTTAATGTTGCCCTGGCATGCCTGGTCTTAAGGCTATGCCCTATGACTGGACTCCTTGAGTAATGACATTTTTGCCAAGGAACAGAAGCATCTAATCTGTAGCAGTAACAATGAAATTCATCAAGAATTTTATATCCCTATATGGGGAAGAAAAAAAAAAAAACACCTCCCAAATACAGCCTGGCAGTGAACAAGGACTGAGCCACGCGAATCCACCTTGTGCTTGCCACCCCACCGACCTGCTGGTAGGTGACCGTGGAAGTGCAGCCATTCCTGCCTGCATCCAGTGCCGCTGCTGAGAACAGATAACGATGTGCTGGGAACCTGTGAGAACAGTCACGTGTGCTTCCAGCTTATGTGCTGAGAGCTCCTGAAAGATGCTGCTGGGGAAGATGGTCACATCTTAATGAGCTTATCTGCTAACATTTAGTTTGGCCCCTCTTCTACTGTATGTGCTGTATCATGAACATATATGTGTATAAATACGTATTTTTCCCTCTTTAAAAGCCTCTCTCCCCATTATCCATGATAATGTGGAGAGTTAGAAGGCTTTTTCGTTTTAAAGCGATTATGATTATGTGCAACCTTTGCTCCCGAGTCATTCACACAGAAAGCGCAGACAAGCCCCCCTGCTGCGAGGTGACAGCTCTGTCTGACTCTGCGGGGCTTTGGTATTCATAGCTCCACGAGGTCATCGCTGGAAAAAACCTTGACAGTGATGTGACCTGGCACCTCAGCTGCTTCTTGGCTGCCTCTCCCTCGGAGCTGCAGAGTCTGCTCTTCTCTGGGGTCACTGGGTAACGCTGCCAGCACCGCCTGTCCAAGGAACTGGTCACAGAAGATGTTGCTGTTCCAGACCTAGAGACAAGGGAACAGAAATAAACCTGGCTGAAGAAGCGCTTCTCTCTCACTCCACCTGAAAGGGTTGTGCTGGAGGGGGTCACCCCCATTAACCCCTTGAAAAAACAGTGAGGAGGGGGCGTGCATCTAAATTTAGCTAATTGTCTGGAGAGCATGTGGGAGATTCTGGATTTGCATGCTCATTTACATACACTATGCAAATAAGGAGCTAAATGCAGCTCTTTCCTTTCTAGGTCACAGCCTGCCTAGAAGAGGAATAAAAATTACCTGTTTGAGCTCATCAGCAGTAAAAACCTACATAACATCAGCCTGTCTGCGCCACTCTGCCTGCTTGCACTCACCTTTGCAGTGTCTGCAGTTCTGTTCCTCTGACTGTGTTAGAGCCAGGTCTGCTAGAGCAAGTTTTGGAGTCCTTGGACACATCCTTTGTCGTTACTCAGGATGGGGTTGGGCATATAGCAAGCAGAAACTGCAATTCTGTTAATAGTGGGGTTTGCTGCTAGTCTCACATGCCAGGCTTTGTTTGGTCTGTGAAATTCATTATTATCTAACTTTCGGTGATCCTGGAAAAGTCAAAGTGTTTGAGCCGCATAGTGTAGAGAGATGGGGTGAGGTCCCACACGTAAATCAAATCTTTGCTAAGGATTAGGCAATCCCACACATGCCAAGAACACAGACCATGTTCCATCAGCTGTTGTATCAGTTCCCTCTAATCCATACCTACAGCCTGTCGTTTGGGGGATAACAGTGCTATCATCCTCCTTCTATTTATAATATTTGTAGGATATACCTATTAGTTCAGATGAGTACTAGGGCACAGGAGTACTATGTACCAGTGCTGCATTAGGCAGTGAAAAGCAACACAGTGCTATAAAGCTATTTTGATTTCTGGCACTTACATGCCACAGTGAATTGACTCACAGATTCATGCTAAGACTGCCCAGCACCGATGAAGAAGACATAGTCCTTCACATTTGTCTAGTACTTAACAACTGTGTGTATCAAACTGAAATGCCGTTCCACTCTCCCAAAATTTCCTGGACTGCCTGGACTCTAAATACTAAGCTCTGTTTCTCCAGCTAGTGCTGAGGTAAACAGTGTGATGTAGCTCCCACAGGACTAGAATTCAAGGTAAAAACTTTCTTAATAGCAGCCTTAGCTTTGGTTTTACTTCAAACACTGACTCTGGACAACACTTGGCTTGTCTTTGTCTCTGTATTGTCAGGTACCAAATGAGGCAAAAGGTAATTCTGTAAACTCCTTCAAAGCCTTGGGATGAAATATGCCTTCTGATCCCTAAGTGTTATCAGTTGTTGTTTTGTAGAAGAAACCTAGACTAGAGAATCAGTGGAGCAGCTGAATAGCTCCAGGCATAGCCCAGTAAGGGGAGCACAGGTTGTCACACATCTATCCTGGGTTTCAGTCATATGAAGGAAGAGTTAGCACACCTCAAGCCCAGCGATGCTGTTGTGCTCCCCTACCCACCTTTAGCAGCCCATGCTGTGTGGCATATCTCACCTGGACAATGATAGGACTGTCGATGTTTCTTCTGTAGAAAATCACTTGTGTGTCAAAGATGGCACTGGTCGTATCATGTTGCACAGAGGAGCGCATGTTTTGGTTCTCACACTTGATAAGCACATAGGGATCTGCTCCTAAAACAGAATCAGCAGCACAGCTCTCAGGACAGAGAATGGTAAATGAGACCTGCCCAGAAACCCAGCAGGAGCAATCTCCCCTCCCGTGCCTGGCAGCACCACTGCTACTGAGCACAGAACAGGGCACCAGAGCACATCACATCCACTGCAAGCTGCCCATCACCAGCAGAGGTGAAATACCTCATTCTTCTAACAACTGCATGCTCAGAGCTGGAAACCAAGCACCATTTGCTGTGAAACCAGCTCACTCCTAGGCTGGGACTGCAATCGTTCCATGTTCCCTTGCTGTGCATCCTCCTAGCTCATCTAACAGCAAGTCTTCAAAGTGAAACTGTAAGCTCCCTGACACTGCTCTAGATGTGAGAGCCAAAATGCATCTGTGCATTATGCAATCTGATATGTTGTTCTGGGCACCTAGGACAAAATGGAAGGTGAACGCTGTTCATCATCCACAATTCCTGTGGAGGGCAAGGACAGGAACTGCACAGAACTGCTTTTGCATCACTGAATGCACGTCTCAGTGCTCACCTTTAGACTGCAGAGCTTCAAAGTGCTGTGTACTGTATTCTGATATGAGTATTACTGTTAGGAGGTAGTTTTCAAGAAGCGGTTTCTCTTCTAAAAAGTAAAATATTGTCAAAATGCAAAAAAGATTTTGTAGGAGTGCACTGGTTTCCAACAAAGTTTTCTGTGGGAAACTGTCAAAGCAAATCCTCCCCAGTTTCTCATTTCATTCCCATGAACCTGGGACAATTTCTTTGGTTCTGTCATTTGGATTGATGTAATTTTAAAGTTTGTGTCATCACAACATGTTTATATCTATTGTAGGTCCTAGTCAATGTTTTAAATTACACTTTAATCATACGTAACCCACTGAAATTATTCAACATTCTAGAAATCCTTTGTTGTTTTTACACTGAGCATTTTTACTTTGTTATAAATGTTGATATTCTCTTTCCGTTCCAACAGGGAGCAAGAACCGATTTGGAAACACCTGTCTTTATGCTCAAATAGAATGGACCATTCCACTTCTTAATTAACTTTAATTAAACACAGGCACTACCATTTTTTTTGTATTTCAACATGACTATTACTGTCCATTCCTATTGTTAATGACAGCATAGCTGTTTTTCCACACCTTCCTACTTTTTAGATATGGATTTTAAATAAACCCAGTGAATGTGCGGAAGTGTAAGTCAGATTGGTGATCATTTCTTACACACATTTCGTCACCATCTACTTGAAAATGGAACTACTCTACTGGAACGACAGCCATAAGGCAGCATAATTTTAAGGCAACTTTCATTTTTTAACAATTCATACCCAGGATGATTTTCCTCAAATGCATCACTTATTTGCAGGAATGGATACCAACATCTCACACAAACAAACCACCTAACAGCTACATCCAAAACAGAAAGAGCTTCTTCCACTTACGAGAAAGAAACCGTTTTTTCCATCTGCAATGATTACACCTGGCTGGACACGCAACAGGCCTGTTACCCTGACAACATCTCACACTTTCTATAGCAGGTAGCAGTATATTGGCTTTTCTGATAGGCAATTACTTTCTGTGTCACTGAATGTGTGGATTTAGCTCTGGGGCATGGGGCGGCACCACGCTGTGTAATCAGTGATGGAAAAGCTCCCCCCTTTGCAAAGAGGTTTGGAAAATGGATCTGAATAAAATGGGGTCTTGCATGAAATGGTGTCAACTACTTTGGCCGAAGGCAAAGAGCAAAGCAACATCTGATCATTAACAGTAATTAAGAGATAAAGGGCATAAGAAGAGGTGGAGAAAGGACACAGAGCTTAAAGAGGTAACAGGCATATCTGCTGGACAGGGAGCTGTTAATGAAGGGACTTGCTAAGCAAAAGTGAAAAGAAAGCTAACACTTGAAGAAACAGATTCAAATTCTCAGAAGGAGCTAGAAAAAAAGAGGGAGGTAGAAGAGCAACATGAAAGGTACTGGCATAGCATGACCTCGTGATGGCATCACTGATGGTCAGTTCTATTAGGAGGACTGGCTCCAATTCCAGAACAAAAGAAAGAAATGGGAGAGCTGCACGTGTGGGATGGGACAAGGGACGTTCCCAGTGACAGTTGGCTCAGTTCTTTGCAGCTCTGGGCCTGGTTTATTTACAGTACAAAGACAGTGCAGAGAGGGCTACTAATGTGGAAAAGCAACATCCCAATATTCGCCATGAGCTGGGAATGAAAACAACAGGACCTGCTGTCCTGGCAACTGCTCTGGCAGCGGAAGGAGGACTGGGTTCAGTTCTCAGGCACATAGATGACTCCAGCTATGCCTCGAACACCATACTGTGTATAAACTGCTGTTCTGTCTCAGTCCTATGGCCATGCTTTTATATTGGGAAGTTGTACGAAAGAACAGCACAAAAGAAAAAGCTGAAAACTGTAAAAGGCAGAAACATTTGAACAGTAATGACACTTCTAAGGCTTAAATAAATCTATGCACAGTAGTCTTTTTTTTTTTTTTTTTTTTTTGAGAACTGTACCAAGGATCCACATCCTTCAGCACTGTACCACACACAAAAGGCTTTCTAGAAAGTGTGTATCAGATGCGCTGCTTACCAGGTATGTCCCATACCGGGGATCACAAAACCTAGTTTAGAAAAGAAGTGGTGAAAGGCAATTAAACATGCAAATTCAACAAGGAATTTCAGTGGGAAGACTTAAAAATGCAAAAGGTGATTTGTTCGCAGAGATAAGCTCTTAGGAAAAGAGTCTGACAGACAGTAGTGAGAGCAATTTTTAAAACAAGCTTAGAAACAAGAGGCAGAAAATCTCCAAGTCCACAGTGCTTCCTCATCTTCTTGCAAATCTGCCACTGCACTTGGCTCACAGACAGTTGGAATGTCAGAACAAGCTAACTTGGAGAGAGGTACTTCCAAGAGAAGCAGCCTATATGCATTCAGAATTGAGTCTGGGCAGTTAGATTCATCCTTTATTCTAGACAACAGCAAACTATCCATTATTTTTTCCAGACAGGACAATGGATCAAAGACAGCAGCAAGGAGGAGTTTTCAAATAAACATTTAAAATAGAGATTAAACAACCTTCCTCTGGCAGGGAGCAGGGTTCTGATGACAACCAGCTCGTGAACCAGGCCGGGTGTGCACTTGCTATGCAATCTTCATTTTCTTACAGTTTTGTTTAAGTAGTTGCTCAGAAATTTGTGCTAAGCACAACTCTCAGATGACAGTGATGAGCTTATGTGAAGAACAGTGCATTCAAGTCTAAAATCCCTCTATCCTAGTTATATATATATAAAAAAAAAAGGTATCTCTGTTCAGGCTGCTCTTATTTTCCACAACTGCATACTGCAGTGTCAGAGTATGGAAACATCCTGATGCTTTCAGGACAGTTTGTCACAGACATGTAATGCCATGTCTTAGTTCTCAGAAGCTTCAGAATGAATCATAACCTCCTCCTTCATCATCAAGTTTTGTCTTCTCTCTATGCTAAGCAATGATAGTGACAAACCAGGCAGTGGCTGGAGAAGGCGGAAAACAGCTGGCAGATGACAGAGACTGAGCATTAGAAAAGCAGCAGCTTGAGAGCTGCAGATCAGAAGGTGAAGAAGTCAGAAAACCCTTATGAAATGCAGTGGGGCTAATCAGACACAGCAGCTTGCATAGAAACAAGTTGCCAACAACCTTCACGCTAGAAAATGAGTAACCTTTGCGTGAGGTCCTCTTAGCAGCAGGCAAACACAACCACTTATTCTACCTATTTTCTACTTGAATAAACATATTGACTGTGCCTAACCTGAAAGGAAACCTCTACTTGTCACTCCCAACGGCAATTGCCGTGTGGCCTCTTCCCTCGTCTCACAGTATTGATTAGACAGGAGGCTGCCATTGACTCTTAAATCTAGTTCGCATCAGGAAGTGCTCCAGGAAGCGGCAGGTAAGGCTAGTATTTCAGTAAACTCACTTCTGAGAAAGCTGGTCTTTTTCAAATGCCTGGCTGCTGTTTCTCCTTGAGATAAGCATGGGAGAGGGTCCAGACGTGGATCCAGAGAAGCCAGAGAGGAGACGAGAGATGACAAGGAGTTGCATTCTTTTGTGGCAGTGTGAGGAAGCAATCTTAGAATATGGGATACTTAATGTCCCTGGACACATTACTTTCTAGTGTAAATTTACAATCCAGCCAGCCAGTGCGCTTCAAGGAATTTCTATATCTATCCACTCTTTTAATCTACAAAAAAAACACCCCCAAATGTGAGAAACATGTACCATACCCAGCTTTTTATGTTACCAAAAATGGACTCTAGTATCAGTCGGGAGCTTTGCCAAATTTCCCAGCAAGGTGCCCTTAGAAGGCAGAGTGCCAGTTATGGGTGTTATCCTTGTCATTGCACAGCTTAATTTTGTTGTGTAGCACAAATATCAGCAGCGCACATTTGGCTTAATTTTATTTTTTTTATTTACACACTCTCCCTACTTCATTTGTCTGAGGCTGCTATACGATATGGCATTCTGCAAGACAATCTATGAATGTACTCTGCGAGCTGGAGATACTTAAAAAAAAGCTAATGAAGAAAGATTCAAACAGGGATTTAACAGCAGAATTCAAGATAATGGGGAAGCTACTGAAGTGAAGTAACTGAGCTTTCCTTCAGTGCCCCCTGAATGGATGAGATTTGGAACTACAGGCTGAAAAGAGACAAAGGCGCTTACTGAAAGCTTTATGTTGATAAAAAGGAAAATATTTTAACTTTTTTTGTGAAGTTTTATTCAAAGTCAAACAATAACATTCATTTAGGTTTTGTGTTCAAATCCCCTTATGTTTTTGATGAATTTAAAAATGGCATGTTGTTTCACACAGGGAAGTGGAAACACTTCAGAAAAAAAATTGACAATGGTAGACTGGTTTTTTTTTTCAGCCACTTGATGAATTCAATACTAATTCACAAATAGTATCACTTTACCCAATTATGCATTTTTTTTTCCAGCAGATAAAATAATCAAGCAGAAGTTTTGCTTAGGTTTAAACAAAAAATCTGTGAATCCATTTCCTATAGATAGTTCTTCCCACAATAGGTTACCTTTTCAGTTCTGTCAGGATAATCATCAGCCCAACACTGGATGCTGAAATCAAAGCGGAAGAAGACACTTCAACTCCACCTGACCATGTGTGGTAGTACTGGATCCTAAAGGTATTTGGGCTATGCTGTAGCTAGGATATTTATTACACGTTGGTTGTAAGTTCTATTTGTATATTCCTGAGGGTCTGTGCCACATTGCACCAAATCCCACAAGGCTGTCTGAGCTCAAGCCTAGTCTTTGGCAGCTGCAGGCAATTGTTTTTAATGATCTTGTCAAGACTGTAATTGTGCTAAGGATTGTGAAATGCTATGGATGGAGAATTGGTTTTTATTGCTTTACTGCAGGGAATGTTAGAGAAAAATGTTTAAGGAATTTTAATAGCAAAAAACCTCCCACCCTTAAAAATGAAAATGTCCTTCACAGGGCAAAAACAAGAACATACTGCCTCTTTTCAATGCACTGCTCTGCTGTTCTTGTAATATATAGCCCCTTCAGACTGACCCATCCATCCCGCCTTGCTGAGAACGTGGAGCAATATCGCTTGTTTGGCTGAGGTGTTTGTGGCTCCTGTTTTTCCAAGAAAAATGAACCGAATCAATTTTCTATATCTCTTCCCTCCAACATTCCTGTCCCCTGAAGAGACAACCAGATTTACACAGAAAGTGGCTTTCACAATGAAAAGTACATTCAGTCACCACTCAGTGGGTGCCAGGAATAACTATGAAAAGGGGACTAGAATAAAATTGTAGCCAGCTGGTGGGAGAAATTTTACAGCTGCTTTGTGAGACTGAAGATGAACTGTACTGTCTCCGCTCCTTTGCTTTCTCCCTACCAACCACTCAGTGCTGGATGCGTCTACCTTTTTCTATTGCACTGGTCATGGAAAATGAAGGCCGACAGAGAGTAGGAGTAGAAAATGAGGAAGCAAATGGCAACTGGACAAGTCTCCTAATTGACTGTCAACATCATGTGCCAGAAAGACATTTTAGTGTCCTTCAGGACACTTCCTTTCAAGTGTAGATACACAATCCTATACAAGTCATCTAACTTCTCCCTGCCCTAGTTTACCCAGCTGAAAATGGTTGTTTGAAAACCATAATATCCTCCCTGAAGTGCTATTAAGCTTGTGGTAATGAAGAAAAAAGTGCTCTGAAGGCCATGAATGACATTGCTGAGGTAAGTGTAATACACTACATGAGCCTGTGCAAGTCAGCTGTCTCCCTGGATATTTTCCATTTAGAAAACACATAACCCTGAAAGGTGAATTTCTTACTAATCCCCATAAAAAGCTTCTCAGGAGGGTCTGGCTACTACTGCCGATCTGGACCAGCATAGATGACACAGAACTCTTGCTGGTTTGCATCATCTTACTCATCTGATATCTCCTCTTGAGCAGATTTTACAACGTGCTGAAAAAAAAATCCCATAAATCTTCAGTTTGTTTGGATAATTTCTGACTGCTTACACATCAACTTAGATCATCTTTAGAGGACTGAAGAGGCCCCTTCCACTCTTCCAGGCTTGCTTTACACTTACCGCCTGATCTGTCTTGCTTCTGTAAACCCTCTGCAGAGTGAATTTTAATTTGGGTGACTCTGCGTGGATAGCCGCAAAGAAGACTCCAACAGGTCATTTTAGGCTTATCTGCCTTCAGTTCCCTGAAAAGTCATGGGAAAAGCAATTGAAGCAATGCACATCAAGCAAACAATCAACGGTTGTGGAAAATTGGCATTTTCAGAACATGAGATCTGTACTCTTTCCTCATCTACCATTTTGGAAGTTTGTGGTACAGAAATGACAGACTAAAGAAATAAAAACAGAGCAAAGCAAAGTAAACCAAATTTGTGTCATCTTTCATACGGCAGCAAAAGTGGTGGGAAAAAAACCCCAAACTTTAGATCATGGAAAATAGTATCAAAGCAAGAAAAAAAATTCAGTTGGCCTGATTTCACGAAACACTAGTTTTGCCCTCGCAGACAACCATTGTTTTCAAAGGAGATGGTCAAAGAAATAAACAGTAGCAACTGTAACTGTAAGCACAGTGTTCTGACCTAGAACTGGAGGCAACTACAAAAGCCAAACTAAAAGGTCAAAAGACCCAAACTGAATTGTCCACTAGGCTCCTAAGTAAAAATGTCCTGACCACGCACAAATCCCAGTGAGCCATCTGGAGATTCTTGGAGGTGATCCTGACCACCTCAAGGGCCTAGCTCTGGAGTGATATGAGCTAGTGAGTCAGGGATATTTGAGGGCAGCCAGGCAACCATTTCCAAGGAGGAGCAGCCAATGTGGGCAAGGGAACATCTCATGTAGCTGTGAGTGCAACCTACCTGAGTTTTGATGGCACATCTGTGAAGAGTCTCAGGATAAACTTTGTAGTGATGCCAGGATGATATGTAGTTGGGATAAGGATGTAGCGGCCTTGCTTAAGGATCCTCCTCAAGAACACAGTCCGTGTGTTGATGTACAGAGATGTGGCCACTCTCTCCTGCACAGTGAGCTTGTGTAGTCGATAGTTTCTGTTATCCTCCACCTACGGCCGCAGAGCAGTATAGGGATTAATCATGGAATCATAGAATCATTTAGGTTGGAAAAGACCTTTAAGATCAAGTCCAACTGTTAACCTGCCAAGTCCACCACTAAACCATGTCCCTAAGCGCCACATCTACATGTAATACAAGGAGGGATATCAGAGCTAACAGGCTTTCATGAGCAGAAAAGACAATGCGCTATAAAGGCAAATGGTTTGGCACCCACTGAAGCTGTGGCAAGTCCTGATGGGTAGCCCAGTGCTCCAAGTGCTAGCTCACACAGGCTTCCAAGCAGCGCTGTTGTGCACTTCACTGCATCGGTATATACATATATATCCCTAATGCAGAGTTTTGAACACTTTCAGAGATGCATGCACAATCCAAGAACCTGCTAAGCTATGCTGCCATCTTAGATGAGGCTGAGATTCATCTGCTTCCTTTCTCTAGCATGCAGAGAGAGCATTCCAGTCTTGCACAACAGACTCTCAATCCAGATACACACAGCTGCATTTTCATCACCCCTTCCTGAATACAAAAGCTACAGAATAACCATTTACATTTTGTTCTATGCTTTGAAACTGTGTTTAACTATTAACATCCTCTTCAGGGAACTGCTATTTGTCACAGCAGAGTTAAAATATAAACCTATTTCTTAAGCAGCTCCTAGGGGCAAGGACAGCCCTACATTCTTTTCTCTTTTAGTTCTCTTTTGTTTTCAGGTAATTTAGGCCATGGTCTTCCAAAGGCCTTTAGTCATGATAACGAGCCTGGTCCGTTAGAACACTTCTGAAATAGAAAAATTATTGAACACAAATAAAGATAGAGCACTGATACTTTTCTGAAGGTGTGATTTCCTTTTCCAAGCCTTTCCAGACTGTTAGATATACAGGCACAAACAAAGCAAGGTAAATTACGCTTCTTTCTGTAACGACACTTTTCAATATATGTGGTTAACAGGTGATTGTCAAATGAATAGGTGTGATGCAGACGTCAGCAAGTCTGTTAAAAACTGACTGGTTTTTAGGATAGGGCCATAGACTCAGTGTGGTACCACTAACTATAGCAACAGCTGATAAGATAATCCTGATCCTCGGTGAAAAAGGAGAAGCATAGCTCTTTCTCTTGCCTTCCTCCATCTTTTGGTTCATATGTTTTCATTTTACTCAATTTGCCCTGGGAGTGCAATTAAATTACTGTTTGGGATCCCTTTGGTTCCTTTTCACATATGCTCATTTCCTACTCATTACTCCCTCCAGCTTTTGAAAACACTCTTGACTCTTTTTTCTAAGTGGCAAAAGAAAAACTGCAGACTTTTCAAACTCATTCACTTGGCTGTATTTGCTGATGAAATGGAGGCAGGAACCTCCAGTGAGGAGGAGAAAAAAACCCTCCATATTTCAACTGTTAATTTTTTTGTCTTTCTCTTCAAAGCTTGGGGTAGGAAAAACACTTAAAATTCTTTTGCAATAGGGTAAAATTACTTATGCTCCTTTAGTTCAAATAGAGTTTGAATTGAACTAAATTCAAATTAGTTTGAATAGTCTGTCTAATGTCAGCTCTGGTAACTGAGCGCAGTACACAAGCAAAGCTCACGTTGAGAGGAGAGCTGGACCCCACCATGATAATCATGCCTCTGTCCACCAAAGATCTCATTGCCAGGATGAAGCAGGACTGCTGAACAAACTCTGAACCAGGAGCGCAGGCGGCTGCCTACCTTGAATATTTCAAAGCCAATTGGGATGCTGTCTCCCTTCCCTTCTTTCTTGTATTTGCGGCGATCCTCCTGTTGTAATGACACCAACACTTTGTCCTCAGTCTTCTTAACATCAAAGATGTACTAGTACAAGAGAGAAGAAGGTAAGCTGTTAGAAATGCCTTAGGATACCGAGGAGAAAGCCTTCACCAAGGAAATATATACATCCAAAGGAGGCAAATGAAAATACATTTTGGGGGGGGTGTGATTCTCCATATAGAATCACAGACTGGTTTGGGTTGGAAGGACCTTAAAGCCCATCTAGTTCCAACCCTCTGCCATGGGCAGAGACACCCTCCACTAGCCCAGGTTGCCCAAAGCCCCATCCAACCTGGACTTGAACACTGCCAGGGAGCCAGGGGCAGCCACAGCTTCTCTGGGCAACCTGTGCCAGGGCCTCACCACCCTCACAGGGAAGAATTTCCCAGCAATTCACAGTTGAAAATTAATGCTAATAATAAGGATCTTTAAACCAAAAGTTCCAGAGACACTGAAACAGGTAATTCACATAAAGGACAGCATGAGACAGTATTACAAAATAACTGTTGAGGCAGCAGCACAGAACATCTCCTCTGAAAGCAAAAGACAAAAGATTAAGTTTTATTTAGATATATATAAATCAGGAGTGAGACAAAATAATTAAACCAACAGACTCCAGATGGGGTCTTTGATAATTTTTGATTCTTCTTTTAACTTGAATATCTAAATAGGCCTGTAAATTTCAAACATCTTTATATAGGACCTGCAAATGAAGGAATCCTCCAAATCTTAGTTAAAAAAAAATCTAAACCCCACAACTTTGTTCCACACCTACAATTTCTGTTTAATATAAGAATGACAGGAATGCTAATTTTGAACTTTCTCAGTTCTCCTGCAAGTTTTAGGTATAACCAGTAAAAAGAGCTAAGAAGGACTCCTGCATCTTTAAAATGCAAATCTTTTATCCAAACTGTTTACAGTAAACTTGAATCAACTTGGGTTTAAGACCAATCAAAGGACATTATTTCAAGTTTAGGCAGCAGTTCCCATCTCAGTAAATCAGACTTGAATTGCTTACATTATTGAGTATCACTGCCAGACCAGTTCCCAAGTAAATATGTACCCTTTCAGTAGCCAAAAAAAGGTCAGATAGGTGTTTCTTTATACGACAAAGAATTAAACACTCAAATTCATTCATTATTAGAGACTTGATAAATTTTGTTTCTTTTGTGCATACAGAGGGCAAAACTGAGTTCTTGTTGAGGGGAAGAGGACACTATTTACACCAAATTTAGACAGATGCTGTATTCTTCCATCCTCAAAGACCTTTAAATGTGAAGCAAACAAATGAAAACTGCAGCAGTGCACAGCTGGGTACTATGTGCACCGCATGCTCTAATTTCAGCTGAAATTCTCTGACAGCATGGAGAGGAATACATCAGTGGTTCAATTCCGCCCTCCCTACTCATCCAAGACCTGCTAAAAAGCAAATCGTCCTTGAGCATTGCTCTGAGGTGGATATTGAGATTGCCTTGGTGACTGCTGTGGAACAATCCCCTGTAATGACTTCTCATCCCTCCGTGGTTAGAGCTCTGCAGAATAAGGCACCATCCCGTTTCCCATCCCTGACCCTCACTGTCTCAGGCAGTGTCACACCCACATGGAGGAAACACCAACCTCTAGCAGGGCTGGCTGAAGCACAGCAGTATTGGAAAGAAAATCAATACCCTCCCAAGCCTCTGGGCTTCATTAGTTGTTCACAGTATTTACAGTCCAGATTGGTCTCCTACAGAACTACTGCTTGCTGTTCTGGGCTGGCTGGTTTTTGGTACAAATTCAATGCTTCTTTGTACTCTTATTTGTGTGCTATATCAACATTGTGGCAGAGAAAGCACAGGATCCTGAAGAGAGTCCTAGGGGTTGTAAAGAGCCTCTGCAGAGAGAATCTAAAAAGCAAGACATAAATATGCGGCAACACTAGTAAGGCACACTTTAATTTTTGTCCCTGATGAACCATATGCAGCGTTACCTTGTCAGATAGCCTAGAGTGTTCTAGGGCAAATGGAGGTGTGGAAGGGATACTGTGAGAGTGCAAGAGAGCTCTCTTGGTCTGATGAGAGGTACACAATCTTTGATCTGATGACATTTCAGCTGTCCTAATGAGTAACAATCTGGAAAGCAGCAGGTGACTGTAGGAATACATTTGTAACTTGGCCTAAATTCCCTTATTTTAAAGGGACTGGAAGCATCAATCCTTCTCTGTACAGATAAACTTTACAGGAGGCCTCAGCGTCAGGCTTTTCACTCCAGAAGAACATAGATAGATTATCTCTAGACTATGGTAGTATGTGCCACAGTAATTTATAACAGCCCTAAGATAACATAAATGTGTTCCAGCGTTGCTATTAAGAGCCTTTTAATCAACTAGCCTAGAGATAAAACTGGAATAAAACAAACTTCCATTGCATCAGGCATTGCACTCAACTGTAACGTGTATATTCTGTTCTCTGTGGCAGCTAAACACTTACAAATGAGACCCAGACAAGCACTTGGAATGCATCCAGAATCATACAGGGGAATATCTGAATAAAATCACCCTCTGGAAATGAGGCACTAACAGAAGACAGAGCAGTGAAGATGATGAACTGCTTCTCCATCTCCACCTATATGACAGGATGAGCTGGGAGTTTGAGATTCACTCCTAGTCTGAACAGCAAAGGCTGTACTTCTCCAATATCCTGCTATGAAAATTGAGGGGTGCAGACAGAAACCTCCCATACAAGTGCAGAGAAGCAGCCACAAGAACATCTTTAATTAATCCAAAGTGTGTGGTGAATTACAAAAGAACAGAAAGGTCAATTTTCAAAGTAATAACTTAAGCAGTAAGGTGCCCAGGTCTCACTGACAGTAATGGAAGTTTTATGCCTGAATTGACATGCACTGGGATGAAAATGTACAACTGAGAAACACAGGAAGGTGAGAACTGGAGTAAGAATGGATGAACAGATAACCTGAATAGCTTGAAAGTTACCAGGTAGGATGAGACAAAGAAAATTCTGTAATGCTGAAGAGAGGGTGAGCTTGGGGAAGATACTAGATACTTTCAGAATCTTAGATTAATGCAAAGGGATACTAACTAAACACAGCGAACCAAATCCTCAGGCTGTTTAAGGGTGTTAAGTGAATAGAGTTCTGTCAGTAGAAAATCACATTTGCTGCCTTTCTACAGCTGGGAAACTGAAAGAAATCCAGGCAGGACTTCACTAATCCTGGTGTGTCTGACTCATCAGCCCCAAACACGATCAGTCCTAAACAAATATCTAAACTCTTCTGAGAGATTTCACAGAAATCACTGAAACATGCAGTGAACCAGCATTCTCCCAGAGGACAGACAGTGGCAGTGAGACTTCTGTCAAGTAGTCGCTGCCAGCTCCTAAATAGTTCTTCAAAGATACTTCAGAAGCCCTAGCTACAGTGGATACACTTCAATACCTCACAAAATAAAGGGATTCCCACCTGGGGATTCTGAAGGAAGGTCTCTTTGTTATCAAAGCATCCACCAGAGCGATTTAGCAGGGGCTCTGAATTCTTTGCCCAAGCCCCATGCATCATTTTCTTCTCCCAGGTCTTGTGGATACTGAAGTAGGAGGTATTCACAATCCGACAGATGTCCACATCAGTGAAATTCTTACACCAGTCCTCAAACGTCATCCTATTCCATGGGACACCAGGAAAGTCATGGTTTATTTCAAAATAAACAGTGATACTCATGCAAAAAGCCAAAATAACACACAAAATCTTCCAGGAATTTAAGAGGAGGCATTGCTCAGCTGTCCAGAGGACAAACTGATTCATTGGAATGCTCTCCATGTGGAAATACTTGTGAAGCCACAATCATACTATTTTAGAGCTTAATTTAGAGAAATACCACCTCAGTGTGTTTGGTCAGCTCTGGATTTGTTCAGCTGCAGCACCTAAGCCTAAAGGATAGGTTGTATCTACCAGGCTGAATTTGAGAACATGTATTTTGCAAAGGAAAAAGAGATTACCTGCAACCAAAGCACAATCTACTCCTCATTATTATGGTCCTTATTGTTACATCTGTCTCCAAGCATGACTCAAACCTTTGTACCCCAGACATAGCTTTTATTTAGCACCATCTCAATGCTACAACCTATGCCTGCTAAAGTGACAGAGTGGATTGCACAGCAGTTAAAGAACATTCACCCCCTCTAACAGCTTGGTATCTCTGAACTACCATTGTGTCCTGGCTTATTAATGGCCCAGAACCAGCTGGCTTCCAGTTGCCAGTTCTGACAAAACCAAGCAAACAGAAGACTTTTCATACCAAGCCCCGCCAGTACACTGGATGCAGTATTGATGATCTACTGAATAAGTTGCTGGACTGCCTTGGTACATCTAAACTTTAAGCACAGTAAAAGTTATTAGAGTTCTAGAGATTCTGTAGAGAATGAAGACTTCTTGTGCCCATGCTGGAAAACACGGACAAATATCAAAATTCATTGGCTGCAATTGTATTTACAGATACCTCAGCCATGACTGACCTAGAAATCCAACAGATAGGCACAGTAGCCAATAAATAGGATTGACAGTGTGTTCAATATTTGGAATTCTGTATTGTAAACCAGCACACATGTTGTCTTGAATTCTGAGTGAATGTCGTAAATATAGATAATAGATTTTGAGGGTGTTTGAAACTTATATTTACTAAGAGCTACTAATTCTATTAGACTAGTTTTTAATCAATTTTTTTCTGTTCTCTGCATGATCCCTTAAGAGTTTAAAAGAAACAGACCTTGTGCCAGGACTGGATAATGTTATCCATTTGAGGAAGTTGCTTTTGAAGCTCTTAAATGGCAGAATTAATGACAATTACTCATTGTAGTCAATATCTCCAAATCCTTCACATGACTCCTACTCACCAGAACTCTCCATCATTCTCAAGAGTGAGTCCCAAGCTCTTACGTTCTGAATCGCTGACTTTCTTCCACTCTTCAGAACTAAAAGGCCCCCCCAAAAAAACAAGACAGAAAAAAAAAAAAAAAAGATGATTGATAACTTAAATACTTTCACCTGGGGAAAAAAAAATTGCAAGTAAAATTCTCTCATGGTCCCCTGTTATAAAAGTAACATTGGAGTACTGAAAGGACAGATGATATTCAGGAAGAAAATGTGGGGCTTACAGGATGAGTTTTAAAATATTAATTGATTTGAAAGCTACTGAAAAAAGAAAGAGATGAATGGGAAATTGGCACAACTAGAGCAGAACCTTATTGATTTCCTTTGTCACACCCTCCCTTAGGACACTTAAACAGCTGGTTTGGAAGGTCATATGAGATTGACTCCGTTCCGTAAAGGCCCTTCAAAAGAAACCTGGTTTTCCTCCTCAGGAGCTTATTGAGCACTTCTCTTAGACCAGAGTATTCTCTTAGTCTTTCAATCTCCTTAAATAAAACAGACCCAAGGTCTGAGATTTCCCCAGAGAGCCTTTGAGAAGAAACTGTTGCAGCAGGAGCGTAGTGTCCAATTTCCAGAGTAACACTACACTGCGTAGGCACTTCATTGCCTGCATTAGCATATAACTTATGTGCTCTGCATTGTCCCCTGGAGGCGCCTGTCTCTTTCCACTGCCTGCAGGGGAGCACAGGATCCTAAATGCAAGCAGTCTGATGCTTAAATCAGATATCATGATAGAAAAGAGCATGAGCCCCTTCCCTAATGTGTTTACATTAGACAAACAGCCACGATTCCTCACTCCCTTTCCAAAGTACTTGGAGGATGAAGTTGAAGGTGATTGGCGGGAGGGAAGGGAGGTTGCTTGCCATAACAGACATTTCCTTAACGTATTTGGAAATTCTCAATTTTGTTAGGCCAAAAAACATGGGCTAACCTCGGAGTCCTCAGTGCTTCCACTGGAACGAGCGGGAGCTGTGCCAAGACACAGGCTAGTGAGGAACCACAAGGACTTAAGCAAGGCACAGTAGCTCTTCTGCACATTCTTCGCATTTCACCTGAACCAAACTCTTTGAAAGTAATAGATTTTTGCTAGCTAAAGTATGGAAGATAAAAACTTAATATGCTGTCGTTAAGATCATTGCATTATTAAATGCTAACAGAGGCTGATAAGCACAGTGTTCAACTGTAACATCCTAGTTAAATGTTTTTCATGTGTAAATTGCTAGTGATGGAATACATCCCCTCCAGCAATCATTTCTGTCTCTGTAGGGGTGCCTGCTAAGCTCATGGCCTACATTAAAATTCATTAGAAAATAATTCAAGAAATCACAAATGTGGCAATTTTACAGCATTTTTCACCAGTCACCTAAATTATCTAAGAATAAAACACTTGTAACATCCCCAGCACCTCAGTTTTCACACCTCTGTGTGACTCAGTTTTCTCAGATGAGAAACTGAGTCACACAGAAACTCAGTGGTGAAACTGGGAACAAACCTCATGTTCTTGACCTCATCATCACCTTAATTGTAGGCTATTTTTCTACTCATGCTCCAGTGTGCCAGAACAATGACGTATACAGTAAACTAAGGTCCAGGAAGCCACAACCTCCTAGCTCCTCCAGGATGCGTTCATTTGCTCAGAGAATGATGATGCTCAGAGGGAAAAGATGGCACAACAGTTCAGCCATAACTGAGTACTGCTGACTGATGTTGTGTCTCAACAGTGTTTAACCATGCATCCGGTGGCCCTAATGACAGTTTCATCCCTTTGACACTAGATTTGCAGCACTTACTTGTCACTCCAGGCACCATGCCACTCTCTTTTCCCCCAGGGATTCCTCAGCCTGATCATGAAGAGCTTTTCTGCCTTAAAAGAGAATATGAGTCTTTCTCCAAGGCGCAGCTTCCGAATTGCAGTCACTGAGTAGGCATGGCCGATGACAAGACCCATCTCTGTCTCCGCTTCATTGGTTCTGCCAGAGGAAGCCTTTAGCACCAAGAATGGCAATAAAAAAAACCCAAAGAACTCACATCATTGAGAGCACTTGACAGCTACACGTTCAAGGAGCAAGATGGGCAAGGCTTGTTTTCTTTCACAAAGCTATACATTCCCTTCCCAAGTGATTTGACTATGCAGTGCTAGGGCTCAAAACTAGTGCCTCACTAGTCTGGTCTTTTGCATGATAGTGCCAGACAAGTCCTAGCAGACAGAAGTCCAGAACGTAGGAGAACACCACCTGCTACAGCCATTCTGTCTCCTCCTGACCTCGGACAACTGTTACCAGTGCTTCCAAAATCTTGTCATCATTACAAAATGGCTCTTCTGGATATTGATGACTTTGCTCAGACATAGCACTGTCTGGTGGTGTCCTCAACTGGACACTTTGTGGGGCCCAAGAATTTAGCCAATGAGTCCAATGCCTGTTTCTGTGTTGGAGTAAATTTGATACCCAGGAAGAACTACTGGCAGTGGGTAAAACAAATAGAGGGCACAGGCAAGAAAACTTTCTAGCCATTTGTCAAACCTGTCCTGTACCTCACTTGTGACCCTGGCAGGCCTCTCTTAGTGGCAACTGGCAGATCTGCAGGCCTTCTTAGAACTGGGTTTGCTCCTCATAGACTTCACATAAGAAATCCGGTTTTCAGCAGTGATCAGGCATTAAACTGTCTTGCTGGATGACCTAGACCTCATCAAATGCTGATCTAAGAATACATAAAAATTGTCAAGCTCCGAAAAAGACCCCAATTTTGTTTAATGCATCCAGATCAAAATCTCCTAAGTACATCTAAAAACAGTAAAGCAGCATCATATAAAGATGCTGGAGTTGCTTTGAATAACTGGCCCTTTACAAAGCCAGTACAATGCTACAATGCTGCTTCTGAGCAACACGTACCAGGCAGGACAGTGGAAAAAGTAAAGCTGTGCCAGTGCTACAACCCTTCTTCTGAGCCAGAAACAATCCAAATGGTCGTGCCTCCGAATTCACCATGCCCTTGCTGGAGCCAGCATTGGCATCTTTGCACTGAGCCATATCCGGAGTCTCCCTCACCTATATCGGGCTATAACCCCTTGGGCCTTAAGACACTCACCCCCTTGGACTGCAAGGAAGGAAGATCTGACTCAATGCAGATCCCTGAGTGCAAACTTGCAATAATCTAATTAAGACCTCAATGATCAAGCAAGCCTTTGCTCTGGTGCAGAGAAATGGACTTCTTGGAGCTATGAAATGCACATAGTATTTTCTCAGATAGTTTTACCCATTTCAAAATTTCTCTGGTCTAAACAGACAGGGTCCTTCTCCTAAGGCAGGTGTTGCACTGATACGGCAGTGTTCAGTCTCCAAAGACAAGAAATCAGGGGGGAAAAAAAGAAAAAGATAAATTTATATCAAATTGCAACTGACAGATGGTCTGGCAACCGTGAGACTCTCGCCAAGACCTCTTTGCCTTTCACCAACAACAGCTCCTAAAGAATTAGCTCATGTGTTACACCAAGACTGGCTGACATTTCCAATGGGTTTGGGCTTTCTCCAATGTAACACTTTGACTTGCGTTTTTCACAACTAAAAGCAAACAAGAGTCCTTGACAGCATGGGAGTCTGTAACCTCTCCTGCTGCCTTTATTATCCCCCTGGGCTGCCCTTCCCACCTCATTCTGAAGACATTTATTTCTTTATTTGAGATATTTAAACATCTACTGTCTGTTCAAATTTCTAAATGGTAAAGCTCAGGGCTATTTTGTAATCCAAGGAAAACAATGACATGTTTGTAAGTCAGCAATGAAGCCACTTGAGTATTAAATATTCTACACCTAGCAAGCTTCATTGTGTGTATAATACATCTATCAAAAAGTGATAAATGCAGATGAGTCAAGCCAAACCAATAGGAACAGCCTCTGTGTAATCAATGTTTAGAAGCATCTGCGTTTAATTTGACAGGCAGAAATATAATGCCAGGAAGAAGTGAAAGCATTACAACTATCTAATTAATTGCTTTTTAAAATCCAGCTCCCTGTACTTAGCCTATCTCCTCACTAGATCCATGTTAAGAAACTGAACTGCCTTAGCATTTGAGAGCAACCTATCATCCCAGAAACAATGTTTACAACAACAATTCACACCAGGAAGTCAGGTCTGCCAGCCTGGTCTCAGCAAACCAGATGGAATTCTTTCTAAATAAAAATTCAGACCTTGTGAAAAAGGTAAAACAAACACCAAAGACCTAGAAGAATTTGTTTCTGAGCTGTTGCCTAATGTTGCTGGGAGGGACAGTTCAGGACTTCTGTTCTATTCCAGCTGAGTTCTCAGGTTCAAATTCATCTTCCAGAAGGTACCATGTGTTCCTCTTTGGTATCATGGCACTGACACAGGGCACTGCATGGCCAGGGCCTGCTAAGCACATAATGTTCTCAGGCATCTCCAAACATGGCTGATCTTCTCTTGTTCTTGACAACTCCACAGCTACCATGACACTTGCAAGAATTTCTGAATGAACCAACATTTTGGGGTCCACCAGTTTACCGTGGATTTAGCACTAACACTACAGGTATGAAATACTTAAGTGCTACAGTAACATCATCTTTGTTTCACAGATGGGAAAATTAAAGCAAAGTGTTTAACTGATTTAAATAAGTCTACATAAGATTAGCCTTAGCTAAGGTCTTAAACTGGAAGCATGGGCGTAAGATGCTGAAGTGCACCTAGATGCCTACCATGCAACTTCTACAGAATGATCCCTTTTCTGCATACGGCACTTTAAAAATCATTTAAAAGCAATCTTTAGGCAATATTCAGGTGCAATGGCAGTTTGTTAGCCCTCCACGTACAGTAACAGCTTCAGACAAGGTGAGAACTTCAGTGATCCCCAGACACGGCCTGACATTGCAGACTTTCATAGAAGGCGAGCTAAGCCTAGTTGTCACTCTTTTCCCTCCTATGGCAAGGCACTGTGCGAGGCCCTTGTCTGCTGTGGTTTGTGAAGTATAGAGCACCCTTGAGGAGCTGCTACTCATCTGCCTTCTAGCACCTCAAGTGAATGGAGAGTGGTAAAGCTTCCACAGAAGGCAACCCTGTATCACCACTGTGGAAGCCATCCCCTCTCTACTAAAGGAACTTCAAGGTCATGGCCTCCTAATATAGGCATTTGAGTTAGTTGCCTCACATTAGCCAGGGTAGGCAATTTGCTGGTTAATTCTAATGGGGAGTCTTATTAACCAGCAGTACTACCTGAATAACCAAATGAGCTCAGCCTTTCAGCTCAGCTCCAGCGTTACACTGAGGAGACAACTGCATCATCAAAACGAAAGTCAAGAAGTCCTAGCAGCTCAGTGCCAGCAGAACTGTTTTCTGTAAACAGATTTCCCTGAGAAATAAAGAAATTGAACACTGCCATCTGGCCTGTAAATTAGGGCATTCTAGGTGGATTAACCTCAGGTCATTACACAACTGTGACCATTCAGAAAGAATAGCATTTCAGATCCACAGTAAAGTGGCAGCTTTGCGGTTTTGTGATTGTATTTAGGGGCTCGTGGAGTTGTACTTGGCTGACAGCACTGCCAACTTGCTAGCTTTTTCCATACAAAGCTTTTCCAAAGCATACAAATGAAGGGCATACTCAATATACTTATACTAATAACGGTATTTGTTCTAGATTTTTTTCATTGAAAGTAACTCTTAAAAGCCAGCTCTCTATACATACCGTAATGGAACAGCTGATCAAACCACCTCTTTTATGCACTTTCAGCAAGTCTTCAAACAGCTTCATCTGCTCAGAAATAATCTCACCATATTTGCCCTGTACCAAATCAACAGATTCTGCCACTGCTCCAGAGAAATCCACAATTGCATCTGCAGCGCTGCCTCCATCTAGGGCTTCATAAGATCCAGCCAGCCTGGAGGTAACAGAACATTCTCAGTCACCAAGCAGCTGTTAGAAGTGCTCTAATTTAGCTTGGATGTAGGTAATATATTTGCGTCTCACCAAGGGAAAAACAGAACGGAACAAAACAAAACAAAACAGCAGATTGCAGATTAGGTTTCTAAGAAAGGAGTGTAATGATCCTTAAGGCTTTGGGCTGCTGAAGTAGAGTGTGTTGCTCTATTATATGATTCACCTCCTCCATGCAGATTAAAGGAGGAGTTCTCAATCATTTTTAGGTTCTCTACTAGCAGCAAAGCTAAAACCTATGGAAAGTATGATAGAGTTGACAGACAAAACAAACAGATGGATAGAAGGAACAGCACTGAAGACTAAAAGGACAATGAACTAGCTCATACTTTGCATAAGCTTTCTCCAATAATGCGCTCCAGAATTCATTTTTCACATTAGAATGGCAGTAGATCAACTTCCCATCCATTGTTGGCAGCAGATCATCAACAACCACCTCTGTCCATTCTCCAAAGCACCAGAAACGGAAACGGAAAATCCCAGCATATTTCTGAGGGTTTTTAGGGTCCCATTCTTGTTCGTTAAAGTCTGGAATCACCTGAGAAACCACGGAAGGGAAAGTTCACCAAATGCACTATGTTAAGATTTATTCAGAGGGCAGACTGCCCTGGAGCATGCACTATGCTGGTATTGAGCTTCATGAGCAGTTGACCTTAAATAGATGAAGCAGTAAAAAAAGAGGGTGAATTTGGTACAAAGTCAAATACAGTCCCACTTCAAAGAATCTTTTAGGAAAGTAAACTTCAGACTGATCTGCAGAGAAAGATAAACAGAACCTATTGCACTCTCTGGCTTTCTTATCTCTTCTTTGGTGCTCAATGGACTGTGGAGTAGGGAGGTCTCATAACGTGAAAAATGATCTTCTAAAGAAAGGGAAGATTTGATCCACCAAAATTCACCACTCATCAGAGGCACATTAGTCCTAGAAGGAATAACGTTGGCCGATAGGCAAGGAAACAACCAAGGTTTATTAGATTTATTTCATGCACCAAGCACATTGATCACCTACCTGCTGCCAGAGGGTCTTCCTCAGAGCCAAGCAAGAGCACGCAGCCACAAACCAGCAGTTCCCCAGGGTGCCTTGGTGTAAGTCGTGGGAGCTGATTCCATTCACAAACAGGTGGGGGTCTTCACAGAGGTCCTAATAAAGCAAACCAGAGATTACTGGAGACTCCACTCCAGGAATGATCACAGCATCCTTCCAGCTATTCCTCTCCACACTTGTTCTGCATCACATTCCCATGGAAGCGTGGAATTTCTGTACCAGGAAGTTCAAAAGCCCTCTGGCACTGAGTGTATTTGAAAGTCAGGGTATACAGGATTATTTAAGTTGTTACAAGTAGATTGTGTTGCCTTATCTAAACACCAGGATTTGCCAGAGTTCCTAGTTCTGCCCTCAGCTGAAAGTGATCTTTGAGGACTGGAATGAATTCAACATTTGGAAGGCTTATTTGGCATTGGGGTGGTTAATGAACAGAAAGTAAGTGAAAGGAGAAGGAGGAAGCATTACAGAGAAAGGCTTTGACCAAAAAAAAAAAAACCAAAACCCTTCAAGAAAAGCAGCAGGAAAGGATGCTATTGACAGCAGAACTCTAAGCTCCTCTTCCTTCATTGTCACTCTCTTGGCTGACATACTGGAAACCCTCCTCCATCAACAGCAAGAGTTACTGCAAGCACCAAGTAAGAAAGAGTTACTTACCCAGCACCAAAGAAGGCAGAGTATACACGTCTGTGAAATATGCCTCTCATTCTCTGGGTCTGATCTTTCTCATCTATCTGGCTCTTATTAAAACCACTCATTCCCTCTCTCCCATTGCTTTCCTGGCTCCATCTCTATCTCTATGCAGATTCTCACCAAAGCACAGTTAGCTCTTCCTGTGATGTCTCCATGCTTCTCACTAGCTTGCCCCTTGCTGTGTCTTTCCCAAGGGGTACAGTGATAGCCTGCAGATTGAGGCACTAAGATGAACACCTCTAAGTATCTTCGAACATGGGAAAGCCACAGGGGTATCTTTTGCAGCAGTATTGTGTTTGTTACAGAGAAATCCTTAGCAAACGGTGTTCTCCTGAATGGATACCTATGTGGCCTCACAGTCCCAGAGAGAACTTCCCAAGAAATATTTCAGAGAACAGGTAATCTGACTGTCCCATAATTGATATGGAACCTACTGGTTTCAACGCAGTGCCTGCTCATGACACTCTCATGTTAATCATTGCTTTTCCTGACTGGTTGAAAGGATGGAAGAGCAGACAGTGGTAAGAAATTCTGCTTTTTCACAGTCTAAGAAAAACCCTAAATTTCAACACTGTGGGAAGGAAATGATCTTATATCCAGGCATTAGAAATGCAGAATAAATAACTCCCTCTCACCTCAAAATGGTTGGAGACTCCAAATTTACTGCAGTATTTCCAGTTTATCAGCAGCAGAATAAGGAGCGGTGCTCTTTACCTCATGGATTCTCACTGCCCTTTGATAATTATAGATGATGAACCCAAAATACCAAGATTGCAATTCAAGCCTGGCTACACACCACAGGCATGTCAAAACCTTTTGGTCTTCCCTTTGATGGGACTGTGACAAATCAGTGCCAGCTGAACTTATTTTCAGAGAAAAGAACCACCTCAGTGCTGAGCTGAAAGCCTGTTTTCCTGGGCTGGTTTAGCAGATGGCAGTCTGAAGTCAGTTCACAGTAAGTAATGCATGGAGCTGCTGCTGTTTTCTTTAAGAAAATTATATTTTTGGCATGCGACTTTCCTCATTAAGTAACAATTGGTAGAAATTTTAAATGCCTCTTGGGAAACAAGTGACTGATCATTATATGGCACTGTTGTTCTGTCCGTATTTCTTACATGTCTTTACTTAGAAAAATTTCGAAGCTTATTAACAGAGCTTAATAAAATTCTGAATAACAAAATGGTGCCTACAAGGAAAATTGATCCTGTACAAGATACTCATCTGCATCACGGACAGCTTAATTCAATCTGCCTGGATGGTCTGATATAGAATGGCAACAGGAACTTCAGGCTAGCACTTCAGCTGACATCAATCAACTCAGTTGCCTGTTGCGGGGGTTGACACCAGTCGACTACTTGGCCTTCATGGTGGTAGCACGCATTCCAAACGCAGCTTGGGTAGACTCAAGTTTCGTATCCCATTTCCATGCATCTCTGGCAGTAATAATTTCTAGTTTGTTTTTCATTTCAAAATGTTATTTTGTAGTGTAATAAACAAGGGATAAATTGAGCCTTCAGGATTAAAATTTCCCAAACTCTTCTGTCATTAGAGGAAGCCAAAACTTTCACTGGTTTTGAAAGAAATTAAGCACTACTGTGTATTACAAATATCTTCTCTTATTTGGTTTTCTTTGCTAAAAATAAACATATTAAACTGTTATTTTTTAATTGAAGTGTGTCTCGCATCTCACACAGTCCTCAGAGAAAAAACAGAGAGCAGCATGTGTCAGCTGCCAAAACTTACGGATGAGATTAGCATTTGCTGACCACTGGGGTCCAAAGCAAACACGGAACAGCAGAACTTAGAAAAAGCACCTCCCTGTTTCCACCATAGTCAATAAATTTTTCAGGATCCTGCTTGATAAACCCTTTCTTATTAAACTGCCTAGGAGCTCCAGACTTCTGAGACTAAAGAACAGTGTAAAAAAAAATTATGTTAGCTCTGTTTTTCTTGTCATTAATTACAGCCGTTAAAACAGCTTCTATGATGACTGTCACTGTGTAGCTCAGATGAGATGCACAATAATACTCAGGTGCAAGCTGCAGCTAATTTGAGCTGTTTGCTCTCTTCTGGGCTTTTTTCTTTTCACCACTTCCACAGTATAGCAAATTCTAAGCAATACTTTTGAGATTGCATTAGCTACCTAAGCCACAATTGCCCCAACACCGTTAGAAATGTCCTATTTAAATATATCATCCTGCAGTCCTTGTGAAGATCTTTAAGCATTTTTGGTTGCCCCAAGCATGTGAAAAAATTATTAAAAAAACCCACCACTTTTCCAATAATGATCTCAGCAGTGATACTTTAGGATAGCTGAGAGCCAAGCCAACTACTATCAGAGAAATTACGAGAGACTGATGTGAGATGTGGCCCAGGCATTTCAGGAGATCTGATGCCTTCTCTCCCTTGCAACCTAAACACTTGGGTTCTGAGTCCCACTAGAAGTACCTCCTTTGCAAACATAGTAGTTTAACCCTAATCCCTTTTCTCAGGATCAGCCTGCATCATCTGTGTTGTAAAAAAGAGAAATATCTTCACATTTCCAAGAAAAAGTTTAAAGGAGGTTACTGGGTGTTATTATACATCATTAACATATAATAGCCACACTGTTTCTGATACAACACCCCTAATAAAAGCAGTTGTTGTATTATTTATGCCCACAGGGAGCATTCCACCATCCAAGACACAGAGCTCTCCCCAGTTCTCCCCTTACGCATGTGCATAATAAAATAAACACCATCTGCAGAACTATAATTAGGCTGTACAGAGTCTGAAAGTGAGATACGAGGTTGCAGGGGCTCATGGTTCTGCTGAAAACCCTGATGCTCATATTTTCATACCAGACTTTCATTTGCATGACAGAAGTCTATTTGTGCCACCTCCTATCCTTGCTGCACTGCGTAGGCTCGAAATATTTGACATTCAGTGTTACTCAGCCACCGATGCTGTGAGAAATAAAGTGCCTCACAAACTCCTTGTTCTGATTTTAATTGGTTCATCTTTTTGTAACAAAGCGAGTAAATGAACTGGTTAATGAGCAGACTGGGAGAACACTGAGCAGTCTGGAGATGAGAAACTCAGTTATTGTGGGATCACAGAAAATAACAGTGGGAGAGACCTTGACAGGTTAGTCAGTCCCAACACTTGCCTTGGGTCGAAACTGGCTATCCCTAACCTGCTTGTGACTGAAGCTTCTCTAACCTGCATTTAACACAGCCCACAAGGGAAAGTTCACGTGCTTCTTCCACTGGTCAGCTCTCGCTTACTGAAGCTGGGGTGCAATTTTTCTATCTTTTTCACTTGAACTTCACATACTTAACTTGTGTTCAGGCTGTGATCCACCCTCTGATCCTACTCTATGGCCTCGCTGCCTAGTTATTCTTTCTCCCTGAGCCATGAAGTCATATAATACCAAAGCACTGCGCTTGGTTGCATTGATGAAGTGATGCTGCATTCCATCCTATTTATTCCACACTATTTTCCCAAGACATCAAGATAAGTTTGAATTCTCAACCCTGTTAACTGGCTTGCAATCCTATCCCAGTCTCTGTCCTACAGCATTCCTGTACATGCCTTTCTAGCCCCTCATCCAAGTAGTAATGAAAATACTTAAGAGTACCAGACTAAGGGAGATTTTTGTAGGATTTCATCAATTCAACGCCAGCTTGAGAGTGCTCCAAGCCATTTATTTCATCAGTTATGCATCCCCATTACAAAAGTTTGAATTAATACAAATTTTCAAACTTTGGAGAGACATATCAGATATTGCCAAAGTCTTATGAAAGTCAAACTATATCAGATCTCCTGCTCATCTCTTAGTCACAAGATCTGTCCCACTGTAAGCTGGAAGGAAATCAAGCTGGTACATATTACTGTATCTGACAATACATTTTTATAATGCAATCTGTACCATCAGACTAACAGTCATCTGCTTAGGTCTGATAAATTGCAGTTAGGAATTTCACTGAGACACAAAAATGTTCGGACTGTAGTACAAATATGAAAGATGGCAACTTAATTCTCTTTGCTACAACATATCTTCCTTAAGAAATTTCAAACCAATGTGAATCATGGGAGACAACAGACACCTATTTCACTGGAGCTATGAAATGGTTTGTATGTTGCTCTGTCATGTCCCTAAAAAAATAAAAAATAAAAGAAAGGATGGGTTTTATTTGAGACCAGAAGCACCACAGAAAAGTACAGGAGATAACTGATTAACTATATGCATTAACTTCAGGTTGTTGTGGGTACTTTGAATTTTAGAGTAATTTAGTTAAAGGAAAAAGTCCCCCTAGCTCTGAAGATGCATCTCTTGCCATAAGTATTACCAATATAAGTAGGGAGAAAGACATTCAAAGGCTTAATTAATTAGCTATGTGTCTTCACAGACATTAACTGAAGCT